CCATCATCTCTTCTTGTCAACTCGACGGCCAGGAATGGAATCTTTGATTTATTTTCGACTTCCATTGTGAATTTAATTGAAGAATAGTAGTTGTTAAGCTTCCCCGTAAGATACAATTAAAACAGAGCCATCTTGACAAACTGTGAAAGTGTCATCGACGTATCTTTTGTACAGAAGCGATTTGTCCATTGTTGATTTCAATATGCCGTTTTCCAGGCTGGCCATGCTTTAATGTTTTTGGCAATTGTGAGTCATTATTGTTTCATTTGAAGTCTTCAGTTACATATATCCCTAATGAATTCATCAGCAGTTACAATAAAACATAAACATATTTTATCTTATAAGATACACATAATCAGGATCATAAATTAGGCATGAAGATTAGTGATTGATCAAGACCTGTCATGCACCAAAGTGGATGTGACGGTATCAACTTAGCTAACTTATTGATATAATATCCCTTCATCTAATATTATAAATAGATTGTGAATCATTTCATTTCTGTTGAAAACATAAGTTTTGCAATTGAACCACAGAAGAGAATTATGGCATACAGTTTGTTTTCTGAATGTCATACACGACTTCACTAGGAAGATGTCACTTCACTTTTAGACACTAGCACGACTTACATGAACTAGTTCGTTTCCATGATTCTAGTTGAATTGTGTCTTTCCTTCAATGTAAATCCTTACTTTCAAAGTTTGATAATTCGTGTATTCTGCCTAAAATTCCTTATTGCTCTCCCTTAATATCTCCTGAGCTACTTGAGGAAGACTTTGTCACACTATGAAGGGGAATCAAATGTTGTAAGTAGGGCGAGTGGGTTGTCATTAAACTAACTGTTTAGCGCAGTTGTAGATCGACACATGGACTCGTACGAGAAAATCGCATATATATATTATCTTGTTGAACTCTTTGCGTCCTCTCTGTCGATAAATCTTCCCATTGCGTTCATCAGGTAGAATCGGAAGTAACTATAAAAGATTTTATGCTTCGACGACTGAGTATACAAACTCTACAATACCTTATTCCTTACATGCATTTTATGTAATGAGAAAAGTGTAAGGCATGGATAATTTGTTTTTTTTTGTTCTTAAAGTTTCTACTTCAATCTTAATTTCATATTCTATATACTTTCAAACGGGTCCCAGTGGCTTAATGGTATACGAGCTCGCCTTGTAACCGGAAGGTCCCTGGTTCGAATCCGGGTGGGTGCGTACTGCCGAAGAGTCCAAAACTAGGACGAAACAGCTGTCCAGTACTCCCGGCTTGTTTGTGCGTCGGTGGTATAGCGGTTAGGACGCTCGACGACCATGCAAATGGTCCGGGGTTCGATCCTGGGCCGCCAACGCACTCCTTTACCTCGCTAAGCCGGAAATAATGCTGGTGAAGAGGAAAGGTTGAGCATGAGGCTGGCTAGCAACCGCATCCTGTAAAATAAACACTGCTACAGAAACTTCAAGCCACTAGCTTGAAGCCCTATGTTCCGCTGGGGAACGTAAAGGAAAAAAAATATACTTTCAAACAATATTACCAGTATAAATACCCTGTTTAACTGTTTCTACTTGCACTGTGTAGAGAGAGAGAGAGAGAATGGGATGTAATACATGCTGTGAATTCCACACTATATCAGAATTTCTGTTGGAATAAAGCCATAATTACTTTATTGTTATCATGAACTATAGTTGATACCTTCCCATACATTATTATATTATTATTATATCCTTTAATTCCTAGAGGAAAATAGGGCTTCAGCTGCGCGTCTCCATTGCCTTTCGTTGTAAGCCAACAATTTCAACCCGCTCCAAGTCTGCCGAAACATTTTCATCTTCTCTTCACACGACATCATTCAAGTCATAGTAGCACTAACAACCAACTCGACGCTTCCCTTTCGGCCGGGTTCCACTCGAGCGTTGGCTTGTCTAGTGATGTCACTTGATGGTTACCTCAGTGTATGGCCAATCCATCTGCATTTCCTCCTGCCTCTTTGTTTCACAATCAGTTCCTGGTTGGTTTGATCATTGCCGAAGATCCCTGTTGCTGATCTTTTCTGGCCGGCCATCTGATCTTGAGTGAAGTGTTGAGCGAAGACATCTGTTCATGAAGATCTGTAGTTTATTTGAGATGCTCTTTAGGACGCGCAGTGCAAGTCTCTGATCCGTATAGTAGCACTGACTGACTTCACATTGCAGTTGAAAATCCGGATCTTATTTTTGATTCTGAGTGATGTTGACCACCACACAGATTTAAGAGTAATGAAAGCTCGTCTTGCTTTTCCGATTCTTGCTTTGATATCCTCGTCATTTCCGTCCGCCTGTAGTTGAAACGATGCTTCCCAGGTCGGTAAGTATGTAGGTGAAGGAGGTTGTTTCTTTGAGGTTCCTCCCATTTATGCTAACTGTCGTCTGTTGTTGTTGTTGCTGTTGGTGGTATTGGCCAGGAATCTTCATCACCTACCTCTGTTTTATCTATGTTCGCCTGAAGTCCTATGTTTGATGCTTCTTCTATCGCCAGCTTGTAGCTTTTCACTTAAATATCTTCCAGTTTGTTGGAAATCAGACATATATCATCATCGGCGAAGTCCAGATCCTCCAAGTTGATTTTTTGTGAGTGCATTTTATGCCTGTTTCCTCATCTCCCGTTTTCTGTCGCACTATCAAATTTACTGCAATCAGGAAAATCATTGGCGATAGTAGACAGCCTCGCCTCACTCTCATCCCCACTTCGAAGGCTTCCGTAAGTTTCCCGTTGTGGATTACTTGGCTTGCAGCATTGACGTATAACTGTTGGATGAGGTGTATGATTGTCGATGGGACTCCCAGGTAGCAGCGAATTAGTTGCCAAATCACCTCTCGATCGACGCTGTCGTAGGCCTTTTCAAAGTCGATGAATTTGAGATAGAGCGGTGACTTCCATTCCAAACCTTGTTCAATGATGATCCGTAGAGTTGCGATTTGATCAATAAATGACTTGTTTTTCCTGAATCCAGCCTGTTTAGGTCGAAGTTTATTATTCAGGGCTTGTTTGATTCTCTCCAGCATGATGCGGCTTAGTATTTTACTGGGGATAGACAGGGGCATAATTCCGCGCCAGTTTTTGCATTGATATAAGTCTCATTTCTTTGATAGTTTGAATAAGTATACTTTCTTCCAATCCTTGGGTACTTTGCCCTCTTTCCACACCTTCTTTAGCAATGGCATCATCAAGTCCGCTATTGTGTCTGGGTTCATTTTCAATGCTTCTTATACATACTACAGGATTATTTCTTCTGCTCACTGTTAACACGTTTACCAAAACAATCAGTATTTCTGTACTTATCGATTTTATACTCCTCCTTTCCAATAAGTGAAACGAAAACGCCTCAACTGGAGTTTCTGCATAATTCGCCTTTTTACTCATACAGTCACAAATATGAAGTAAAGAAATGAAACATCTGTAGGTGATTCCACTAAATCTATGGATTCTCTATAAAATAGCGTGATATAATCACTCAGAAATGGTTAGACGTTAAAGATATTTAAAGGATGAAGAACAACCAAGTGGCAACCAAGTGGCAGCGACGTCTTCTTTACGAATTTTAAGGCATGGTGAATCATGAATGCCTTTCCGCGTTTCTGACTAGCTTTCTCCGTTTCGCTTGCCTACTGCAATCCTAAAGAAAATTCGGTTTCTAAAAATCACTGACGATGGACATGGAAAAATTAAACTTATTGTGGTTGTGTGATCTTTTCTTTAGGATTTCGAATCCAGAAATAGTTGAATTCATGCAAAAAATGGGATTCTCTGATGATTCTTCCCAGTTAGTATATTATTATGCGTCGAAAGTAGTCGAAATTGTCAAAGGTGTTGCTCACCGAAATCATTCGATTAAACCTATTTTATATCAAGACGTTTTGGAGTACGGATATCAGGTAAGTGTTGGAAGATTCGTTCATTAGTAATTATTTTATCTACACACAAAACAATATCAGATGTGCTTACTTCACTGATTGGATTGTGGTTCAGTAAACGTCGTTAATTGTCCACAAACACTTTAGAATATTAGCATGGGCTTATAGCCTTTTTTGTTCACGGTAACTCTTTCTCATATCATGATTCCACTGGTGGGTATATTCCTCATATTCCTGTTATTGGCGTTGGATTATATCTATTGGACTTATCCGATGTCGGTTAGTTTCATGAATAGCGCGTTTGAAGGATCAACTGTGAGCGGTTAACTGGTTCTCTGGCTTATCAGCCACTCCTTAAACTTTAAAAAGAGAATGACTGATTGTTAGGCTGGAAACCTCACTCTTTAAATCATCAACTCATCGCCACGATAACTTTAATTTGCAGAAAAATATTTTTTTTTAATAAACTTGCCGGAATTTAGAAGAAAATTTTTCGGATGAATTGCTCTTGTGGGTGAGAGTCTTGTGTCACCTTTCAAACATAAGCATGAGGGCACGAAGTGTGTTCTCACCATATCTAAGGTTGCTCAGAACACAGATTGAACTAAGTGTGTTATGACACTGTAACGAATCTGTGAACACAGGTGAAATGGAAGTTAAATCTCCAAATTCACAACTGTAGAGTTAGTGATCTAGTCCAACCAGTCAGATGACGAAAACAATCACGTCGAGAGTGTTTTATCCATGCTAATGCTAACAAAATAGAAGCCTTTCATGAGCTGAACACTGATCTCTTGAAAGAATCTGACTTTAAGATTTCAATCAAAAAGGAGAAAATTTGCAGTAAAAACAACACTGACCTCTACAGACACATGCAGACATCAACGGACAAGAACCAATCCAGAATTCCAATCTGTAGTGCAAATACTACACTTTGGGGAGACAACGGAAGCATCGTCCAATTGTTCTTTAACTAATGTCAGCTCATGATGAAATCCTGAAACCAATCAAATCCCTACAAACCAACACATTTGTATTCGTTCAACAAACAACCAGTAACTGTATAAATGTTTGGTTCCATCTTATAGGGTGACGAAATTACAGTCATTCATGTTTGGAAATCCTCAGAATGGAAAGAATATACCAGAGAGGTTGTTGAAAAAAAAATTCAGCGTCATAGTTACTGGTGATTGGAATTTAGATGATCTACATAACGAATATGATTGGACAAAATACTACGAACAAGATATCAGAGACGTTGGAGGTTAGTTGATTTACGGTATGATTTGACAGGAATAGTGTCATTAACCAAACTTATGTGTTGACATTATCTATTGGATTTGTATAATTTTGAGCTAATTTGTCATTTAAGAATGTGAGTTGGGTGGTTTTTCAAAATTGCACAGTATGAGATAATATAAATAACAACTAAGGATTCTTACGTAGGTCAGTTGGATGTGTTTTTCAGTGTTGTTGCACTCTATATGAGCTGTGTGACTGAATTGCAGATCCATAAACACTGAACAGACACATCCTCAAAAGCAATAATCGTTCAATAATGAATCTAGATTTGATGAAGTATGCATGCGCCTCGATGACGAATATGTCGCATATGTGAACTCAGATTTCTGTCACATATTCAACAAAAAATGTGTCTCAGGATTTCATCATGAGCTGACATTAGTTAGAGAACCATTGGAAAACCTGGGAGTACTGGACAGCTGTTTCGTCTTAGTTTGGGACTCTTCAGCAGTACGCACCCGCCAGAATTCGAACCCAGGACCTTCCGGTTACAAGGCGAGCTCGTATACTATTAAGCCACTGGGACCCGATCAAATGGTCCTTGAATTCTAACTTCTGCCAATTCTGTCAAATCCCTACAAAGCAACACTTGAATACCAATGAGATGCTCACTGGCGACTGACCCTATTCAGGTAGGTAGTTACCTGGGTTCCAGTGGGAAGTCGTGACCAGTAGGGTGCAGCTGGTCGGGTGTGAGGACAAATACTCGCCGAAGACATTGGCTAGCGGTCGCGCTATATCGTGAATTGGCAGAAGTTAGAATTCAAGGACCAGTGGATCGGGTCCCAGTGGCTTAATAGTATACGAGCCAGCTCGCCTTGTAACCGGAAGGTCCTGGGTTCGAATCCCGGTGGGTGCGTACTGCTGAAGAGTCCCAAACTAGGACGAAACAGCTTTCCAGTACTCCCAGGTTTTCCAATGGTTCTCTAACTGATGTCAGCTCATGATGAAATCCTGAAACCAATCAAATCCCTACAAAGCAACACTTAAAAAATGTGTCTACCTGAGAAGGAGTGCTTGAAAGTGAGTTTAGACGAATTAGCAGATACTCTGAAATACAATAATCATAAATAATTGGCACTTTGTAACTACATGCCTATCGATAGCTCGCGACTAAGCAGTTTAGCTTGCGTAATTTCAACCGAAACTTGATGTGAAAGGAGAGCAATTGATGGATTATTTTATGTTAGCGTCAGTAGTATAATACTGATGATTAGTGACCTCGACAACAGTATTGGTTCGTCAATTACTTCTGATTTTCAAAACCCACGTAAATTAGGATGGAATGATGAGACACTCCGTACTAATAATTCACCTGCATTATTCATTAATACATTATTTATATATGTATACTACGTACCTTGGAGGGTTAATTTAGCAAACGAGCAAATCTATTAGCTGTATGAATCTGCTCTTCCGGATTGTCCGATTGCATTATCATCAGTATTCGATCCAGGAACGTATGATTTCATTTATCTATTCCGGTTTAATCCTGTTTCAGTTTGCTTTTGCTGTCATGTACCTATTTGAGATAGTTTAAGGTGTTGCATATGAGTTAGGCGGAGAATGTACTTTGAAGGCGGCGCTTTGTTCTATTCTTGTGAGTCCGATCCAACTTTTCCACGACAGTTTCATATAGTTTTGGTTTCTTCCACATTCGACACAAATGTCATTTAATCTGACTTAGTCTGATCACACCTACTAATGGGACATTTCATGTGATAGAAGAATTTCCCAGTTACTCAACTAGACTAGTACTGTGAAAATGTAAAACCTTGCAAAGTTTTAACCTTGTGATCTGCTGCTTATGCCATAGCATCTATTTGATTTCTGGAATGACAATAGAGAAGGTGACTGTGTGTTGACTGGCAGTAGCAATGAAAACAGGGCCAACATCATGAAGTGAGTTCGTACCAATGGTCTTGAAGGCGAATCATTCGTTGGAATACAAAACCCGTTGTTGTTGTTGCACGAATGTGTGTGCAAATTTCATGCTGATCTCTTTTCCAAATACTGTTTGGACGATGGGTTGGTGGAATGTTATGCATAGAATTGAGATGAAGTGGTAAGTACTGGAGTTAGAGCAAATATAAGAGTTGAGGTTTGATTGTAGGTAGTATTTTCTTTGCAAATAGATGCGTATGGGGGGGAGAGTATTTCCTTGTTCATACAGATGAAACTGCGATGGCGAAGTAAAAAACCTTACTTGATGGTCTTTATCAGTGTGTGCCATATCCATTTCCACTGTCCCCTAAAGATTTGTTGCGCTGTAGGTTCTTGATGAGTTTGGTCCCTAGAGTTTCTTGTTGCTTATGCTTTCTCGCTAGCCGGTCATTTGATATTCAATATGGAGCCAGAGAGGGAAGCTGTTGACAAAATTCTGCAGCTTGCTGGAAATCATTACCGTGACACTTCAAATTTCTGACCCATTTTGAAGAGGCGACTGACTTGACATTGCTGGATGTCCTACTTACAAGAAAACAAGATGGTAGCATAAAAATAAATTTGCATAGGAAAAGTACTTGGACAGGACAGTATACACATTTTCACAGCTTCGTTCCTATATCAAGTACAAAAGAAATTTAGTGAAGACTCTCAGCCACAGGGTTAGCTGCAGCTTTATGCTCAGAAGAAGTAACTGAAGATGAGTTAAGCATTGTATGTGATGCTTTGATCGAAAATGGCTATCCCGAAAAATTTATCAATAAACACATGACAAAGAAAACGGAAGAAGACTACTCACTGTCTGTAAAAAAGTAGCCTGTTTATATACGACTACAATTCATGGGCGATTACCAAGCGAGATAATTGCGAAAGAATTAAGAAAATCAGTTCAAAGTACTTTTAATGCTGGTGAACTACACGTCTTATTCTCTACAGGATCGATGGTGATTCCTCGACTGAAAGATGAAGTACCTAGACTAGCCACTTCAAAATGTATCTACCAATTTAACTGCACTTGTGGTGGAACGAGTTATATTGGCCGTTGCTCTAGGAACTCGATCCTTCGTGCTCGAGAACATCTCCCACTATGGCTAAGTAAAGGTGTAGTGAAAACCAATAACAGTACAATATTGGACCATCTGGTGCAAACCGGCCACAAAGCCAGCCAGCGTGGAAGAATCCTTCTCTATCATCTACCGGGTGTCTAATAAATTGCCAAAATTATCGAAGAACCTCATGCTTCAAGCAGCAGAGGCTATTGCGATTCGCCTCAAACAATCAGCGCTCTGTGTTCAAAAGAAGCTAGTCCAGCCGCTACAACTGCCCTGGCCAGCCTTCAGTAGAAACTATAAACTCATGAATTCGTAATATTATATCTTCTAATTCTTCTGACATTCAGCTCATTTTATGTTGATGCGATTCAGCTGTAATCTGTCAATATTATTGATTTGATATTATTTAAACAACATTAATGTCGTTCATAACACTAACTCATTCATTCACTATAATGTACGTATAACTGTAGAGCCTGATGAAGAAAGCGTTATCAAAAAGAGTACTCTTTGTTCAGTATCCATTCTTTTGAAAATCAGAATTTGTTCTTTATGCTGAGTGTATCAGAGGGATGAAGTTCTGTCTAGCCTTCTTGACGCTTCAAATTTAGTGCATCCTTAAGTAGTTATTTAACTAACCATTTTTAAATCAAAACTCAGTGTCTAACTTTATCGGTAGTACCGACTGCTCTCATTCAAAAGACGACAACAAAACAGCAAACCTTAACATATGAAACCATCTGAATTGCAAATGTTTCATTCATCAGTGAACTCGGCATATCTGAATTTTCAAATTAATCGCTCTCTGCAATGATTAATAATAATTATCATATCTTTTACAGTTTCAGACGATGAGGCATCAATAATCATTGGTGGTGAAGCTACACTGTGGGGTCCAAGTGTGGATGAAACCAATGTGATCACTCTAGCATGGTAAGTACCGTTTGTAAATAAATCCCACGCTGTACTTCTAGTGCTATCAACTTTCAACCATTAAACAAAATGATTTGGGTAGAATTAGGTGGAAATGAATCAAGTGTATTATATTGGGGATTTTTGAGTTGACAAGGCCGTTGATTGAAAATGTTGCTTAGGGGCAGAAAATGACAAAGTAGCCCAGCGCTGAATGTCTGCTTGAATAGGAGCATTTAAATAACATCCCTTCAAGTTCAGATGAAACAGGATGAACAGATCAATGGGACTGTATTGTTAGCCAATCATCAAACAAATATCATAAAGATGAATTGTGATTCTCACTACTCCTATAACTGATATCAAATGATTATTACTGAATTTTCAGATTAGGTTGACGCTGGCCTCTCTTAGCCTTATATCTTTTCATCAACGAATGGTACAGCTGCTCAGATATCGAGTGATACACCTTCGTATATGCTACGTAGGTATGACTCATACATGAAATGATGCATCCAGTTTTAGGATAGACCAATTTTTGAATGGCCTGACAAAAGAGTTTTATGTCACATTATTTATCTTGCTTTATCTACTAAAACAAAGTACCTTCTTACATCTCTGTGACATACATGTGCAGGCCCAGAGGTGCTGCTGTAGCTGAAAAATTATGGTCACAAATTACTGATACGAGTGAAGAATTCTCACAACGAATCAGTGAACTTCGGTACAGAATGCTGTAGTAAGTCCTTGTATTCGTATATTCATGTGTATTCATGTCTATTCTGAAGTTATACTGCAATATGTTTGTGTCACGGGAGTCGGTGGCACAGCGGTTAGGGCGCTCGCCAACCATGCACATGGTCCGGGGTTCGATCCCGGCCGACGAGGCATTCCTTTACCTCGTTAAGTCACAAATAATGCTGGTAAAGAGGAAAGGTTGGGCATGAGGCTAGCAACCACATCCTGTAAAATATACACTGCCACAGAAACTACAAGCCACTAGCTTGGAGCCTTATGTTCCACTGGGAAACGTGAAGGAAAAAAACAAAAAAAATGTTTGTGCCATGGCCTTTCTTCAGAAATGCTCACTGTTAGATTTATTCACTCCTTTCACTGTTGAATCGCAGTTTCCATCGTATCTTGACTTCGTGGTAAAGTATGTGATGTCCATTTTGTTTCCAACGAAGAATCTTATCCTACTTAATTTTTGTTACATATAATATAAGCACAAACATGGAAATTAGAAAATTTATCCAGCCGCGTTTATTTTGAATGTTGCATGATTAAGTCGAATGCAGAATTCAAAGATTTGATAGATTAGTTCATGGGAAAGTGAAGTCCACCAAAAGATTCTACCTTCTTGGATGTATTAGACATCTTAGAGCTCTTCGCTGCACATGATGAATGTTGTTAAGGTGCTTGTGAAGGCTATAATTTAACTGTCAGCAAATCACCTAACTCGATAAATAACAATTTGAAGACGAAACATGTAGTCCCTGCAAGGAGGCTCATTTCGGTGAAATCATTCTACGGGTTACCTGTAAAATCGCAATCAAAAATATTTCTACTCATTGGAAGTGATGAGTTATCACAAAAGTGTGAAATATTCCAATATTATGAATTAAAAGTCAATCTGAACGAAGAATATTCTTTTCAATAATTTCTCCTCTTCAGGTTCTTACAATTATACAATACAGTATATTTGTTGTCATCACAGTAATAGGCAGGTATGTGGCGGATACATCGCATCGATGTCAACACAGCTTTCAGGGTTATATACTGAAATCCAAATTCGCTATCACGTACAGTTCGCTTACGTCTCCTACACATAGCCGAGGCTGTTGCGATAAGACCGACTAAACCGGAACTCTGTATCCAAAAAGAACACGTCCAGACGCTGTTCCTACCGTGGCCGACCATGGATTGAAGATTTTTCTTCTCACCAAGAGTGCTCCTTCCCCTTCACCCTCTTCGTTTCTTGTTGTTTTTTACTTTGCTTATTATTACAGGTATTATTATTACAGTTATTATTATTATTCGCCATAATTTATGCCCTTCATGCAAACATTCCCTCAATACTAGCGAATTTTCATTTATACGGACTTATAATAGGTGATATTATCTCTTTTCTCAATATCTGCCTCCACCTGTTTCATTTAATATATTCGTTATCTCACTATGAACCTCTCATTCTAGTCTTACTATCTCCTGTTTAACTCAAACCACTTTTTACTGGCCACTGCAATAACCTGACACCTTTTATAACCTTGAACTGAAACTTGTCAATTTTCCTACCCCACACTCTACAAATCTTTTATGACAACTAATCACCACCACTGTCTCCCGTTTTACAATATTTTCTAATCGATTTCTGCCTAGCACTATGTTTGTCACACAAATACGACTATTTATTTTGACACCCCATAACTACTAATCTGTTATTCTACGTTAAAAATGTATCCGCCGCCGCATAACTGTCTATGATGATTGTAACGACCAGAAATATTATATTTTATAATTGTAGGAACCTGAAGAGGAGAAATTATTGAAAAGAATATTCTTCGTTCAGATTGACTTTCAATATCACAAAAGTAGTTGTCGATATTTGTCAACGTATATGAAGCATTAAATAGGTGTGTCAGAGTTACGTGATGAGATAAATCATTTAATCAGGACGAACATAGAAATGAAGGAAAATACCTAGTTACATAAGAGTCCCACAGACATACGAGGGTTATACAGAGATAGAAAATCAAACAAACTTAAATCAAATGAGTTGAAATCAACACATTTTTGTAGCCATGATATTAGATATATGATTGAATAACTTTTGTTTTTTTACGCATATCTCCGATTTTTCTAACTGAATGTTTAAGGCTTCAGAAATGCAAAGGAGAAGACAGTGTTTTACCCTCGATAGGTTGAGATGGAATGGCCGATGCTCGCTAGGTATTCGATTTTCGTACTGCTTAAGGGTGAATCACTACATACATGCAACCATGAGCGGGAATATTGTTCCTGAACCTTTTCAAGCAGGATACACGTCGAACGACCGATGTATTTGGCTCCAAAAGAGTAGGTGAACTGATTGATATGCGCACACAGAACATAACAATTTAACGAGGAACATTTCAATGTTTATACGCATTATCGATGTCTACCAACTATTAGTTATTCGATGTGTGAAACAACAAAACTGATTGTAAATTTCCATGTAATTTGTTTGACGATTTATTTCAGTAACAACATAGAAGCCCATCCAATCAATGGCCCAGGTTTCTGCCCAACTAAAAGTTTGAGAACATGAACAAACTGGAGAAAGGGTATGGAAATTGCTACTCACCTTTTTGTGCATCAGAGCTTTGTTGATTTCCATTTTATTAAAATGAAATTTCAAAATATTTTCAATATCCAATGACACACACTCTTTTGAAAGAAATAACTTGTCGCTTTCTGAATTATACAATATTAGTATTATATTATATTTATTATATTATATATATTTTTATTATTATTATTGTTCCCTTGGGTTTCTAGTGGAACATAGGGCTTCAACTGCACGTCTCCACTTGCTTCTGTCTTACTTCTGCTGTTTGTTTCACCTGCATACATGTTAGTCCATACTGACTGTTTCAACTCCTCTTCACACGATCTCCTCCATGTCACCCTTGCACTGACGTCCCACTTGCTGCTTCCCTTTCAGCCTCCACTAGAGCAATGGCCTGACGCGCGCACGATCTCACGTCCACTTTCTCCTGCATATTTGTTGGCTGGCGATTGGTTCTTGTTTTGTTTGTTCCCATAGTTTCTTGTTGGTGATTCTTTCCGGGTTGGCCATCTGATATTCAGTATAGAGCCAGCGAAGACAATTGTTGGTTGATGAAGATCTGCAACAGGCTGTCGGAAATATTCTTTGTGATCCGCCCACCAAGTTTCTGATCCGTATAGAAGAACTGACTGACTTGACGTGGTTTGTATTAAAAATCCGACCGAATTTTGTTGTTGATGCTGAGTGATGAAGATTTCCAGGTTGATTTCAGGTTGATGAATGTGTTTCTCACCTTCCCGATTCTCTCTCTATTTGACATCTCCGGGCGTTCCGACTGCCTGTAGTTGAGACAATGCTCCCTAAATAAGTAGATGAAGTAACCTTTTGAAATCCCTCCCGTTGATGGTGATTGGTGCTGGATGTTGCTGCTGTTGTTGTTGGTTGATCATTTTCATAACCTCCGTCTTGTCTATGTTCACTTGGAGACCAGTCCTCGCCGGCTGCTTCTTCGAACAGTTTGTCGATTTTCGCTTGTAAGTCTTCGATTTTCTGTGACATCAAACATAAATCATCCACGCGCGAAATCCAGGTCTTCTAGTTTTTTCACGTCGGTCCAGGATATCCCTGTCTTCTCGTTTCCCACTCACTGTCTGACGCATAATCCAGTTAGTCCACCACATTCAGAATATCATTAGTGATAATAAGCACCCTTGTCTGACTCCTGTGTTTACTCCAAACGCCTCGCTGAGTTTTCCGTTGTGGATCACTTGACATATGCCGTTGTCGTACAGCTAATGAATAAGGTTGATGAATATTTGGGGTACGCCGTAGTACTCGAGTAGTTTCCAAATTACTTCTCGGTCAACGCTGTCAAAGGACTTTTCAAAGTCTATAAAGTTGAGGCAGAGGTTTGATCGCCATTCCATGCTTTGTTCGATAATGATGCGTAGAGTTGCAGTTTGGTCAGTACATGATTTGCCTTTCCTGAATCCAGCTTGTTCTGGTCGGAGTTCTGCATCCAGTGTTTCTTTTATTTTCTCCCTGATGATGCGATTTATAATTTTACCTGGCGTCGACAGGAGCATGATTCGTCTACATTTCTTGCAGACCCTTTGTCCCCCTTCTTTGTATTTTCACGAGGTAATTTATCCCCCAGTCAGTAGGCACCTTTCCCTCCTTCCAGACCTTTTGCAATAATGTAGTCAGCATATCTGCTGTCGTTTCTGCGTTCACTTTCAGTGCTTCACGGGGTATTCTATCTGGTCCAGCTACTTTTCCAGCTTTCAGAAGCTTCATTGCATTCAAGACTTCAGCTCTCGTTGGAGGATTGATGCCAACTTGCAGTTGTGTACGTGGTGTTGTTGGTATTTCCGGACGGGTTGCA